GGAAATGATTCTCTGACAAATCTTAGGGGCACACCCCTTGCGATTTGAGATTTGGGGAAATGATTCTCTGACAAATCTTACGGGGACACCCCTTGCGATTTGAGATTTCTGACAAATCTTAGGGGGGCACCCCTTGCGATTGGAGATCTGGGGACTCGATTCTCTGAAAAAATCTTAGGGGCACACCCCTTGCGATTTCAGATTTGGGGACTTGATTATCTGAAAAATCTTAAGGGGCCACCCCTTGCGATTTCAGATTTGGGGACTTGATCCCTTGAAAAATCTGATCTGTGGGCCTTGCCTTTTTGGCAAGGACAGCCGCGCAGATCACACCAGATTTGGTCCAGTGAATTTGGGAAGAATGGATGGGCAAAATCTGGTGTGATCTGCGTGCCTAGATCAGTTCACACCAGTTTTGGTCCACTGACGGCCACAGTTGCAGGATTTTGGGCTGTTTGCGACCTCCCATGTGGGGCCCCTATATGTCTCTAGTAGAGATGTGCTTCTAGCCCCCATATAGGAGGCTCGAAACCCTTTGTTTTGGGTATGTAAGTAAGTAAGTAAGTATGTATGTATGTATGTACGTACGTAGGTATGTATGTATGTATGTATGTATGTATGTATGCGTGTATGTAGGTAGGCATGTATGTATATATATGTATATATTCATACTTTTGTAGCGAGAAATCGACCGAATTGTGAGGATGCTCCGCACGGGAGCGTGATTTTTGATGAAGAAACGACGACATTTTGAGGATGCTCCGCACGCCAGAGCGATTTCATTCAAAATGTCCAGGACGCTCTGCACGGGAGCGCGATTGTTGATGAAAAATCAACGAATGTTTGAAGATGCTCCGCACGCCAGAGCGATTTCAGTCAAAAGTTTCAAGATGCTCTGCACGGAAGCGCAATTTTTGATTAACAATCCGCGAAATTTTGAGGATGCTCCGCACGGGAACGCGATTTTATTCAATTTTTTCAGGATGCTCCGCACAGGAGTGCGATTTTGAACGAAGAAGTCGACGGAATTTTCAGGATGCTCCGCACGGGAGCGCAATTTTCTTCGAGAATTTCAGGATGCTCCGCACTGGAGCGCAATTTTCTTCGAGAATTTCAGGATGCTCCGCACGGGAGCGCGATTTTCTTCAAAATTTTCAAAATGATCCGCACGGGAGCGCGATTTGAACCACAAAGTCGACAAAAGCTATACTGACTGACTACCGGGGTACTCCGCTCAAGGAGCGAAGAAGACGACCTTGAGCGGAGTGCCGCGGTAGTTAGTTGGTGTAGCTTTCGTCGACTTCGTCTTTCAAAAAACATCAAAATTCTCTGTATGCTCCGCACAGTAGCGTCATTTTGAGAGGAATTGGTGAAGATAAATTGACGAAATTTTCAGGATGCTCCGGGCGGGAGCGCGATTTTTGAAGATTCAACGTTCAAAAATCGAACTGTCTCGCGCGGGAGAGCGATCTTTCGGTAGGCAAAATCACGAATTTTGAGGATGTCCCACACGATTCAGTCACAGACCCCTATAGCATCCTATAGCAAGACTAATTTAAAGGGAGATGAGGCTCAAATTGATGAATAATTACGACGTCATAAAACGATGAAAAACGACGATTTCTTGGGGATGCTCCGAGCGAGAGCGCGATTTTGTAAATCACCCGGAAGAGCACGCAGGGATGACGGGCGACGGTGCATCGAACAATGAGAACAATGAGAACCCCACAATGAATATGGACTAATAAGGCTGTGATTTGAAATAGTCCCTTATTGGATTTATTCGAATAATTGAAAGTGTCGGCGTTGGGCGTGATCATAACGTGGCCCCCTCAACTTCTGCTCCGGAGGCTCCGGACAAGCCACTTGAGGGCCCCAAAAGGAACCCCTGCCCCACTCACCCCACTTGGGCAAGTGGGGCAAGTGGGGCAAGCGGAGCCAGTGGGACTGACGCCTTGAATGTTCCCCCCCCTGCGGTCGCAATGAATTATATGATTTCAATCAGATCTCGACAGGGCCAAATTATGTACCCCTCTAATGTTCGGGTCGTACGATAAACACCCCCCCTGATTTTAAATACTGTTCGGAGTATTTACATTAGGGGGGAGGGGAGGGTGGGAGCCCTTTAATATTGGGGGGAAAGGATTAGCTTGCTGCTTTCCAGACCTTGTCTGCTCCAACATGATCCTTCTACTGATGAAGACAGAGACAAACTCAGGCCTAGCTAGACTTGCGCAAGTAATGAGGTTCGGAGCTGTAACTGAAGATTGAGCTGCGGTGCGTATGTCCCTCGGCGTCCCCCGTGAACATATCCTTCTGTGCTACTGCATTTCAACTTTGTCAACAGGCATTTCGACATCTTATCCACGAGTGCTTTGCACGACCAGAATGGATGGGGTTAAATGAACGCACTCCACATCACCCGAAAAGTATGGGTGGGACTGACAGAAGCATCGCAGACCGTCTAAAACACCTTCCTACCAAACATCGCATGCCATGTAGATGCAATCCAAGCTTGAACACAACACTCACCAGCTAGATCACCGAAAACACCGTCGTGAACGCTCCACATGAGCTTCTTGAAAACGGGTGCAGGCAGTCCATCGCCTTTGATAAGCTTTCTCAGGAAGCAGGGATAAGCTAAGTATGCCAGCACTACGGCAGTCTCCGCCAACCTCCACATGTCTCCACGCTCCATCCTCCTAATTCAGCACTGAGGGTATAGATTCATCATAACCGTAGAAAAGATTTCACCTCACTTGCTACTCCACATTAATTTGGCCATGAGCTTCCACTTTCATTGCAATACACTGCAAGTGATTGGCAGCAGCTACCAGTCGCAAAAATCCGCAATACTCCGCAGGTCTCCGCAGATCTCCGCAGCTGGGCTCCTTGGACCCCCCTAGCGGCCCTAGCCACTTCTGGGTGTCAACAGCCATGCCGAAATCCACCAATCCGAAGGTGGTCTGTCCTGCACGACACTTCGAAAAACAGGGAAGCCTGGGCACACGGCTGGCGCCTGGAGAGTTGACATGATCCACTAAGATGTTTCGCCTAAGTCTGTTATGAAGTCTTGCTACAACTGCAGTGCTAACTGCAAAGTGGCAAAGCTTCCCACGGGTTCACGTCGCGGTGATAAACGTATCGCGACAGTTCTTGCAGAGCCGGCCTGCGTAAAGGCCCCTTAACGCACCCCCACCAGCACTCACAGTGACTCACAGATTGCATCTTGAGGAGTGTCCCTGCTGGGTCTTGAGCCCTAGCTGCGCCAGCAATTCTGACGCGACGCGGCAAGGCTCTGCAAGAAGCCTGGTACCAAGTAGAAAGTGCTCAACATGAGACGGTGCCTTGAAACCTGCACGCGCTGCGCAAAACAACACACTCGATGAAGAAATGCCTCAATGCGTCCTTTGCTGGAAGAGCGTTTAAAGAGGTCTGCTTGTGGCAGCGAAGCACCAACCTTGCACATCTCAAACCGAACAATAAGGTGACGCCACTCGCATCCCGCGTCATGCCCCATTTGAGGCTGAGACGCCAGTGGTTCTCCAGCAAGTCTCGACATGGCAAGTCTCACACGCCAGCCCTGGCAAGCTTGGCATCTTGGCAGGCTCCGAAAACTTTGGTAGAATGTCAGCTGCACAGCCTTGGAGCCAAGGCTTTCGGTTTCTTGCGCAGCCTAAGTTGCATTACGAGCAAGATTTTGCAAAACCTATCCTAACGGTGGACATCAGCCTTGGCTCTTCACCATGTTGGGAATACGTGAAGACAGTGAGCCATTGAAGTCTATTCCACCTCAAGGAACTGGCGGGTTGAAATCATGCGTGAGCGAAGGTGCGCAAAGATGGAAGTGCAGGCAACGCAAGATTTCACAACGAGAACACTTACCCGGAGTAAGAGCTTAACATTTGTCAAGTCTACAACTGCATGGGTCTTTGTGTGCTCTTTGCTCTTGTTCTCTGAGCAGTTAAAACACATGCGTGGAGATGAGCCTCGCGGCCAGAGGCCAACAGCTTCGTGGTATGACAAAACCAGGCTGATCCAAATGAAGACAGTACATCTACCCCGCACTTCCTGCAAGGATTTCTTGATTTTGCCTGGTCTTGGGCGTTGGTTGTGGTTCCGGGGGTGTTGAGCCTCATTCTCTACGAGTTGCTGGAATTCCTTGAGGCCTTTAGTTTGGGCTTCGTTATCTTGACTTTCTTTCAGCCTATCCGAGTCGCCTAAACTTGTTCTGAGACCTCTAGAGAGGTCCTAAGACCTCGAGCACTGGAAGCCGAAGGCTGTTGTTGGAAAATCTAGGGGCGCAATGGCAAAATTCAAGCCATAGAATGAAGCGGCAAAAATTTGCAGCCTGCCTGCCCTCAAGAAACAGCCATAGAGAGAGCGAACGCACAAAACCCCGTGTAGTTCTCATGGAACAGTTAAGAGTAAAAGCTCCTCCTTCCATGCTCTCACCATGCCTGTTGTGGAATTGGAAGCGGACCCCCCTCCAAGCCTCGGGCAAAGCTACCAACGCAGAGTGATGATCTTCAGATGAGCAGGTGACCATGCCGCAATGCCTGCCTTGCAAGGATCTTTCCTTCAAAAAGGGCGTTCTTGAGTTCGGCCTCAGCTGCAGATTGGGCCACTGGCCACTTGCCACTTCAAGCACGCAGCGTGCTGACTGTGGACCGAACTTGAGACCGGCAGAAGATCTCTTTGATTGCATACTCCTCCTAGAACACATTGCAAGCTGCTAGGCTAATAGACACGCCACAACGCCACTCCGACGCCTCGTTCACACCTGCATGACTTGTCGCCTACAACTTAAGATTTCTTCCAGCTTCTTCCTACAACACATGCTTCATACAGCTTGGATACTCTTGCTTGGAGGAATGTGAACGCTGTGAAGGGCATTGTTGGACGTGGGCCTTTGGGCATAATCTGAGCGTGAGTCCGAACATGATTGCAACACATGTTTGGATTGCACCGAAGCGCAGAAGATGCATAAGCAAAACCTGTCGAAGTTGAACCGTCGAAACTGCGATGAAAAGCATGTGACAATTCACGTGCTGGACGTATGCTCAGCAAGACTTCTCCTTCATCTCCAAATCTTCACAACGAGCACACCACACCTCACAACACGGTGTGGAATCAGCTTTCTTCGCCTTCCTGGGCTTCCCAATGTCAAAATCATTCATCAAAGGTCTCAGCCCTGCGCAACTCCATAGCTGCCTGTCCCGAGCGGCTCAGATATTCGGAACCTGCAATGCAAAGCACCAGAAAAGTAACTCCTTCATTGGCTCGGTCTTGTCCACAGAGGCTAATGTGCTTCGCAAGCAAATAAAATGTCAAGGGCAAAAGTTTTGGAAACAATTTCTCCGTTTATGACCACTGGCTGGTCAAGGAACCCCGCCGTGTGGCGGAAATTCAAAGAAGCAAATCCTACCCGGTGATGTGCGAGCTCCAACGATGCAGGCAGCAAAAACCCCCATGCCTGGCTTCACTTCCACGAGCCAACATCGCAGTCGCTCCATTACACCCCGCGAAATACACCCGCCACTGACAATGTGCGAACTCCGCCATGCGAAAGCACGTCAACGCGTTCTGATCAAAAGAAGAGCTGCCCACAGGACCTTGCATAAAATTCCATGCGTGCAACCATGCACGGTGCCCGATAGTTCTAGTTGGTGTTTGTGGCGCGCGTGCAGATCGCCTCGCGATCTCGCGCATTTTTGGATGATTTCCGCCCACGCTGAGCCAAGCAAGGTTGGGGAGGGACGATTTCGTTCAAAATACGCAGATCCCATGGTATTTACAACGTGTTCTGTACTAAGTTTGTTGTTCGCAAGCGCAGTCTCTTTGCGATTGGCATCTTCAAGTAGTGTTTGTTTACATACTCTATTGCACGCTGAAAGGCCAAAGTGTGAATTCTGCAGCATTTCGCGTCTTCGGGACCTTGGCGAGCGGCGGCTCAACAAGTATGGTGGCGCATTCTTGCATCTGACTGCTTCTTTTTTCGGCGAGCGGTGCCTTTTTTCGATTGGCATTTAAAAAGAGTGGTTGTTTCGATTTGTTTTCGAGCGTCTTTGGGCATGGACTGTTTTTTTGTGAGCATCTCAAAACGTGTGTTGGCCAAGCCTTTTCAAGACTGCGACATTTCGAAGCGTTAGGCATTTGTTTATTCATTACCCCCAAGGGTATTGGCTTGAAATCCTCTTGCCTACACTACATATACTTCTCTCAAAGGATCCCTGCAAGTAATTGGATCATGGCATGGGAGAGCAACAACAAGGCCCCCAACCGAAGGGAGAACCCACCGAAAGCAATGCATGCCAGTGTAAATACCCAAGTAAAATCGAGAGCACCAACTCTGTCTCGATATGAGATACGGAGCCATCAACTGACTCGAATCACCAAGCGTCAGGTACTTGGGTACTTGACAATCAACAATCCATGGAAGACGCTTGAGTCCTCAGGATCGCGCTCAGGGTATATGAAACATTTCCAAGACATCCAGGCACACAGGCTTGTCCGGATCGAATCCATCCAAACGATTTCTGCTGAGGTCATCCGTCCAAAAAAAATTACGACACCCCGCAATGTGAGAGCAAAGCAGAAACACCCCCAGACGGGAGCTGTGAAAGTCCATAGCCTGCAAAACGAAGTAAAGGGGCTTTAGCTGAGACAACTAGCTCTGCGTGGGCGTAACCATACCACAGACTGGTTATCGCATAACAAGAACAGGTTAGCAGACTTTTCACAGAACAAAATCAACAAGATCAATTGCACCAAATCTTCCAGCGCGGCCATACAAGACTGCAACGACGATGAATCATAATGAATCCGATGACTTAAACCAGCACGGCAGGCCTCTCTATGGGAGCTGAAAGTTAAACCAAAAGGTGCGGGCGCAAGGTGCACCGTCTCGAAGCCAGTAGCCGCCAGCGCCTGCAAGATCTCCATTAAAGAAGGCATCTGCTGCGCTGGGCGGACCACCAGACTCCAGCACGCATAATGAGATCGGTCGCTGCGCTGTTGCAGAAGCCAAAGGCAGTTGCGCAGCCAAAGCAGAAGACTTCCCGTTCGCTTTTACTTTCTGGCCTGTCACCAACCTCAGGAACTCCTCCCAAGGTTTACACTTACACGGTAGCAGTTTGTTTTGCTAGCTAGGGCTAGCCAGGAGAAATGGTATCGGGAAAAGTGCAGACACTTGCGTGCGTTAGCACTTTACTGCACAAAAAAACTCACCAAAAACTTGCTAGCGGAGAACGCTCCACGCGCCAGCGCTGCTACGCGCCCGAAACAGCGAGGGCTGTCGATTCCAAACAGAATTCCTAGGACGCTCCACGCGCCAGCGCTCCCACGCGCTGAAAACAGCGAGAGGGTTCGCGAGCAAGCTTGAGAATTCGCACGGCGCCACAGCGAGAGCGTTTCGACACGCCGGCAAGCTTGAAAATTCGCGAGGCGCCGCAGCGAGAGCACTTCGAGACGCACGATCCCCGCAGAGGGTTCGCCGGCCAAGCCTAAATTCACACAGCCCCACCCCTGGAGCACTTTGACACGCACGATCCCCGCAGTTCGCACGGCGCCACAGCGAGAGCGTTTCGACACGCACGATCCCCGCAGAAGGTTCGCCGGCAAGCTTGAAAATTCGCGAGGCGCCGCAGCGAGAGCACTTCGACAGCACAATCCCCGAAGAGGGGTGCATCCCGCCAACCCCGCCAAACCCACCCCAGGCTAAGAAATAAGATAGAACATAATAGAGGCTGTGTAGATTCTCCGGTGTACGTGGTGCGGTGTAGGGTATGCTGTGGTGTACGTAGTGGTGCGATGTAGGTGCTGTGGCGTATGTAACCTGTGATAACCTGTGTAGGTGCTGTGGTGTGAGCAAGGCAACCGTTTTTTGACGAGGAATCCTTCGCGGTGCTTTCGGAAAAATGACGAGGCACTGTCGCCCTTGCGGTGCGAAAACCGCCTGTGGCAGCCGCAAAGCCAGCAGGAAGGGTGGGGAGCAGAACAGTTTCTTTGAATGCCACGCATATGGGTGCTGAAGTTCCCCAAAGCATTGCGAAGGGATCTCATGACACGGTGAGGAGTGCGGGGAAAGGAATGGCTCTCCAAGTAGGGCCAGCGACTGAATAGCCGGCTGGCAGAGGGCCGAAGTCGCTAAGTCTCAATGAGGAATCTTGTTGAAGGCTCGAGGAGGTTCTGCTTGGATGACACGGCCTGTACATAAGGTGCCAAGCTTGCAATCAACTATGCCAACAACGTTGGCTCAAGCACCTCAAGACCACATCGAAGTGCCCTTCAGTGAAATAGATCTCGAAATGCATGTTGCGGATGGATGAGTGGATGTTTTTGTGATTCCAGCTTAAGGTCATTTAGCCGGGCCCCTTGCCGTAAAATCCTCTTAACTCTCTTGATTGACGATAGCTCCCATTCGATTCGCACCAGAATTTTCATGGCTTCGTGTCAAACCATGCCATCCCATTTATCATCGGTTACCACTTCTCAGAACCAGAACTTGCTATCCCTCCGTACCCCCCAAGAGTCCCCATCAATTAGCCTCAATGATCCCCGATAGGCCCGAATTAAGATGGCACCAGGCTCACCAAGGTGCAGGTGGTAGGGGGAAGCCATAGAAAAGGATGATAGAGAAGGATACACGGCAGGACTTTTGAATTTGTGATCCCCCAACTCCTATATCTATGTATATGTATATGTATACGTATACGTATATGTATATGTATGTGTATATATGTATAT